AATATAGTGTATATTTCATACGTTACCGCTTCCGGCACCCTCTTCCTACATTTCCACATTAAAATCCATACTAAGCACCTTTCTTTGGAAAAGCAAAAGAGCAAGATGTGCATACCACCATCTTACCAAACAGACAGGAGGTTTTGGATTATCGGACATTGAGCATGCAGCATTACTTAACACCTCTTCACTCCTGGTTCCAATCCCCTCAAGATATACTGTGGGGAAATAATGAAACCGCACTTACACAATTGCACAACTTGACTCACCTCCTATTAGCAGACTCCTGGCATCCTCTAAATCTCAAACACCTTCCCTTGCCTACTCAAGCCTCCATTTTAGCATGGAGAAAGCTGCTTTCCTATCCTCAACCAAGACACCGTCTGCACCATCTTCGCTACCCAATTGAAATGCTAGAGCTACTCATACCCTACATCTTTCTTAAAAGATGGGTTGAAGCAGGAAACCACAGGGTGGACGATATCCTCTTTAATAATCATTTGAAATCCATGGAAGCCCTAATAGTAGAATATGAAATTCCAACATCCACTACTTACACACATTCAAGATTACTAAGTTTTATAACCAAATGCCCTCCCCTAAGCATAATGGTCCCTGAAGTAATATGGAAATTCCTTTCCTCAGACGTTCCTAAAAGGTATTTCTCTTTTCTACAATTCTCTACAAAACAAATTGATGTCCTCCAAAACTCCCCCATGTTTAAATGGGAAGTGGATATACAGAAATCCTACTCTAAAAATTAGTGGTTGGTGGCCATCAAATACAATTACTCAATGTCGCATTGTTTTGCACACTGGGAACAATCTCAGAAATGTACATAACCCACTGGTACCTAACATAGCACGCTTTTCTAAATCCAAATTCCCCCCTTGCTGGAGGGGATGGGGACAGGTTGGGAATCTTATCCAAATCTTCTGGGCTTGTAAAAGCCTCGCCATCTTCTGGAGAAAAATCTCAATTAACTCAGATACCACAGGTGTACTGCTTAGACCAGACCCTGCTCTAGCCATTCCACATCTATGAATTGACAGTCTTTACCACACACAGAATGGTTTCCATGCACATTCTAGTGGCAGATAAAACAATCATAGCCAGGCATTGGATTAAAAACCTAGCCTTCAACCCTTCAGAAGTGGTAGATCTGTTGAACGTACAATTTTCCTTTGAAAAAATGTGCTTCTCCACTTTGCGCTCCTCCACCTTCCATTTTAAGGGTGCCCCACAGATGCTCAATAGGGTTTAGGTCAGGAGACATGCTTGGCCAGTCCATCACCTTTTACCCTCAGCTTCTTTAGCAAGGCAGTGGTCATCTTGGAGGTATGTTTGGGGTCGTTATCATGTTGGAATACTGCCCTGCGGCCCAGTCTTCGAAGGGAGGGGATCATGCTCTGCTTCAGTATGTCACAGTACATGTTGGCATTCATGGTTCCCTCAATGATCTGTAGCTCCCCAGTGCCGGCAGCACTCATGGAGCCCTAGACCGTGACACTCCCACCACCATGCTTGACGTTGGGCAAGACACACTTGTCTTTGTACTCCTCACTTGGTTGCTGCCACACACGCTTGATACCATCTGAACCAAATAAGTTTATCTTAGTCTCACAAGGACATGGTTCCAGTAATCCTTAGTCCAGTAGTCCTTAGTCTGCTTGTCTTCAGCAAACTGTTAGCAGGCTTTGTTGTGCATCATCTTTAGAAGAGGCTTCCTTCTATGACAATAGCCATGCAGACCAATTTGATGCAGTGTGCAGCGTATGGTCTGAGCACTGACACGCTGGCCCCCCACCCCTTCAAACCTCTGCAGCAATGTTGGAAGCACTCATACGTCTATTTCCCAAAGACAACCTCTGGATTTGAGGCTGACTACATGCACTCAACTTCTTTGGTCGACCATGGCGAGGTCTGTTCTGAGTGGAACCTGTCCTGTTAAATCACTGTATGGTCTTCGCCACTGTGCTGCAGCTCAGTTTCAGGGTCTTTGAAATCTTCTTATAGCCTAGGCCATCTTTATGTAGAGCAGCAATTCTTTTTTTTTCAGGTCCTCAGAGAGTTCTTTGCTATGAGGTGCCATGTTGAACTTCCAGTGACCAGTATGAGAGAGTGAGAGTAATAACACCAAATTTAACACATCTGCTCCCCATTCACACCTGAGACCTTGTAACACTAACTAGTCACATGACATCAGGGATGGAAAATGGCTAATTGGGCACACTTTGGATATTTTCACCTAGGGGTGTACTCACTTTTGTTGCCAACGGTTTAGACATTAATGGCTATGTGTTGAATTAATTTGAGGGGACAGCAAATTTACACGGTTATACAAGCTGTACACTTACTACTTTACATTGTAGCAAAGTATAATTTCTTCAGTGTTGTCATATGAAAAAATATAATAAAATATTTACAAAAATGTGAGGGGTGTACTCACTTCTGTGAGATACTGTAAGTATTTGATCCCCTACCAACCAACAATAATGTTGGCTCCCAAAGACTGGCTTTGTGCTCATGTGATACACGGATTAGCCCTGTCAATTTAAGAAGGTGCTCCTAATGACAACTCGTAATGTGTATTAAAAACACCTGTCCACAAAATCTTTCTTCCATTCAAACCTCACCATCAAGACCAAAGAGCTGTCAAAGGATATCAGAGACAAAATTGTAGACCAGCACAAGGCTGGAATGGGCTACAAGACCATCAGCAAGGAGTTTGGTGAGAAGGAGACAACTGTTGGAGCTTTTATTCGCAAACGGAAGAAATACAAAATAACCATCAATCGGCTTCAGTCTGGAGCTCCAAGCAAGAGGTAGCCTCATGGGGTAAGGATGATCATGAGAAAAGTGAGGAATCAAAAATTTAGCTTTTTGGCATTAACTCGACTTTACCGTGTTTGGAGGAAGAAAAATGCTGACTATGACCCTAAGAACACCATCCCTACAGTCAAGCACAGAGGTGGAAACATTATGCTTTGGGGCTGTTTCTCAGCTAAAGGTACAGGTCGACTTTGTCGCATTGAGGGGCCAATGGACGGTGCCATGTATTGTAAGATCTTGGATGAGAACCTTTTTTCCTCAGCCAGAACAGTGAACATAGGACATGGATGGGTCTTCCAGCATGACAATGACCTAAAACATACCGCCAATTCAGCAAATGAGTGGCTCAACAAGAAATACAGTAGGGTTATGGAGTGGCCTATCCAATCACCAGAGCTTAATGCTATAGAAAATTTATGGAGGGAGATGAAACTTCTGCCAAGCAACAGCCAAGAAACCTTAAAGATTTAGAGAAGATCTGTAAAAAAAGAGTGGACCAAAATCCCTCCTGAGATGTGTGCAAACCTGGTAACCAACTACAAGAAACGTCTTACCTCTGTGCTTGCCAACAAGGGTTTCTCCACCAAGTCATGTTTTGCCTGGAGATCAAATACTTATTTTGCTCACTGAACTGCAGCTCAATTTATAACATTTGTATTGTGTTTTCTGGATTTTTGTTTGATATTCTGTCTCTTTCATTTAAAATACACCTATAATAAAAATTATAGATCCTTTCTTAGTATGTGGGCAAACGTACAAAATCTGTAGGGGATCAAATAAATATTTTCCCCACTGTATATCTATACTGAAAACCACAAGAGAAAGTTAATGAAAACAAAGCAAAGGAAAAAAAACGGGCAGACTAGATGGACCCCACTTGGTCTTTTTCTGCCGTCACAATGTTTCTACGTTTTCTATGTGATACCTGAACAGATCCACAGAATGTGAGACAAAGATCCCACCTCAGAGTTGCACCTCCAGCACAAGTTTCCAACTGGGGAATGTATGGAGTGCAACAACTCAGGAGTAGAGTTACAACACTTTAATATTTTATATGCACTTTCTTTATAGGTTTTGCATATGAAGCTCTTGTGAGATTGTAACCAGAGATCTCTAAGGGAAGTTCATGAGGTATTTTTTCCCTATTCCATATATAGAAATGTTTAGGGAATGGTTCTTCTCTGAGTGTACTGAGCATTTTGTATACTGTATATTGAGATTAAGGCTTTTCTAGAAGGTTCTTCAGCACAGATGTTTTCATATGGGGTTAACCAAGCGAACACTAGTTCTTTTTTGAGGGACTGGGCAAAGTGGCAAATTTGAGGATAGCTGTAAAAGGAGTAAGACCAAATTTATCCTGCAGATCAGAAAATGGCAAAAGCCTAAGGATGTGTGGATCAACTATGTCTCTGAATTTAAACAGAGCGTTTGTTTTCCATGGCTTTATTATTGACATGTGTAGGCTGTCGGGTATATTTGGATTGCATGAACAGGAGGCCAGTAAAGATTTGTGGCATGCTTCTCCAAAGTGGAATCTTGGTCTGTACAGCCTGAGCACCAAAGGCAGGCGCTTGGGTGGACCGGCACCAGTCAATATTCCAAGTTCCATGGAACAATTGTATGACCCAAATGTGGACCAGGATGCCTAAGTGTCTGAGGTGTGCTGCATAATAAAATTTGATAATATCGGGTACCCCAATCGTCCTTGCTCTTGGAGTACAGAGCAACCTCATGAATAGCCGGACTCTTATAGTTCATATGAAGTTGAGCAGTTGTGGAGGTTACTTTGACAGGAAGGTTCTCAAGCAGATCTAATAATTTAGGAATTATCATCATTTTAACCTCCCTAGCGGTCTGATTATGTCCATATTTTTCTGTGCTCAAAGTGGTAAATTTTTTTGCATGGAAATATGTAGTTTTTTTTTATTGTAGGCCTGTAATTTTTAGGAATAACTCACTGAAATCTGTCCGAACAAGAGTCTAGTAAACATTCCGTGTATGTGAAAATTTGAAACACAAAATCATAAATTATAATTTTATAATATAATAAATAATCATAAATAATAATATAATAAATTTTTATTCAATAATATAATCAAACCAAAGAAACTGAAATTTGAAATAGAGTGCCAGTTCCCACATCACTGAGCAAAGTCGCAAAATCGTTTTCAGTGTCTGACAAATTTCCCCACGAATCATTATCACTCAATTCTGCAAGTAGTTCTAATTTACTATCATCGTTCTCTAGCTGGTCTAAAACTGCTTTTGACGTAAAGGGACGCTTTTTGGACGCCATAGACTTTTCTCAATTTCAAGGCAGAAAGAACAGTAAAAATGCAGGCAGGGCACAGGACAAAGCACTAGAGACAAAATGTATGTGAAATGGTTTGATACAGTAATGTTTTACTATGTGATTTTAGTGAATGTTACTTTTAAAATTTTCAAATTTCCCACCAGTTCCGTCCCCGTACATCCTGACGTCGGTTAAGAAGGGGCATAGTTTAGAGGTGTTGCGCAGGTTAAGGCAGCAAGAATTGGACAGTAATTGGATGTGGAGCTAAAAGGAGTTCAAGGATTACACCTAATACCCTGGCATGTGGGGATGGACTGATAGTTCTGCCATCAATCTTGACAGACAAATCAGGTACTTGGGAGGGGGAAATGTTATGAGGTCCATTTTGGATAGATTGAGTTTGAGGAAGTGATATGACATCCATACTGATACTGTATGTCTGTATGAGTGATGAATGAGGATACCGAAGGTGTGAGCTGAGGGATAGAAAGATAGTTATCTAACATTTTATGAATGATTGAGTAGTGAGATTAGATACCTTATGATCATTAAGAGAATGTTGTCTGTGTACAGTGAGACAATTAATTTCCTGTTGAGAACAAGAACACCAGAAATGTTAGGATGTTGTCGAATAGTGGATGCTAACAGTTCAATGCAGAGCGTGACTAGCAGTGGAAAGAAGGGACAACCTTGTTGCGTGCACGTTAATATTGAAAATGACATAGAGGAAGTTTCACGTCCCTGTTGGAGCTGCTTAACCTCCCTGGCGGTATGATTATTTCAGATTTTTGGTGCTGAAAGCGGTACCATTATTTTGTATTTGGCGTTTTATATTGTAGGCCTGCAATTTTTAGGAATAAGGCTACGTTCACACTAGCGTTGTGTGCAGGCGGTAGAAAGGCATTTGGGAAGCGTTTTTACCGCTTCCCAAACGCCTCAGACAATTCTGCACATTGCAGCACATAGTGCTGTTCTAACGGGAGCATCGCGGCACGCCAAAATGGACGCCTCTGGTCGAGTCAGGAGGCGTTGAAGCCTCCTATTCTAGTCTATGGTGCCGCTCCACAAACGCCTGGCCGGCGTTTGCGGGTCGGTAACACCATTCAAACTTCATGATAGGCGTTTGTGGGGCGTTTTTAACACTCGGCAAACACCTAGCAACTGCCGCTGAACCGTGCATGCGGCGTTTGCCGAGCGTTAAAAAACGCTCCGCAAACGCCAGACCAATGCTTGCCAAACACTATAGGGGCGTTTGGCAAGAGTTGGTAAAACAGTCAAGTGTGTACGAGCTCTAACTCACTGAAATCTGTCCGAGCAAGAGTCTAGTAAACATCCCGGGTATGTTAAAATTTGAAACGCGAAATCATAAATTATAATTTAATAAATCATAAAAAATAATATAATAATAATAAATGTAATTCAATAATATAATCAAACCAAAAACACTGAAATTTGAAATAGAGCGCCAAGTTTGCACATTATTGATCTTAGTCACAAAATCTGTTTCATTATCACTCAATTCTGCAAGTGATTCTAATTCACTATCGCTGTTCTCTAACTGGTCTAAAACTGCTTTTGACCTATAGGGACGCTTTTTGTACACCATGGACGTTTCTCAGTTTCCAGGCTGAAAGAACAGTAAAAATGCAGGCAGGGCGCAGGACAAAGCACTTGGGGACAAAATGTATGTGAAATGCTTTGATACAGTAATGTTTACTATGTGATTTTAGTGAATGTCACTTTTTGTCATTTTCAAATTTCCCGCCGTTCCGTCCGCCGTACGTCCCGGCACTCGCAGGGGGCGGAACCCAGATGACAAATGCCGGCATCTGCCGGATTACGTTGCCGGGAACATTGCAGGAGGGGCATCGCAGGAGCGAGGGATCCCGGAGCAGCGCCGTATGGTAAGCCCAAGTGTAGTTCGGGGCTACCGCTTGTGGTACTGAAACTTTACCCTGAGCTACACTCGGGAATACCGCCAGGGAGGTTAAGGATCTTGAATTGCTTGGAGGAAGGGTCCATTGATTCTTGTATTCACTGGCCACTTTATTAGGTACACCTTGCTATTACCGGGTTAGACACCCTTTGCCTTCATAATTGGCTTAATTCTTTGTGGCATAGATTCCACAAAGTTTTGGAAACATTCCTCAGAGATTTTGGTCCATATTGACATGAGTTACTGTTACCTTTCTATCATCCCTAACCAGTCTGCTCATTCTCCTCTGACCTCTGACATTAACCAGGTATTTTCTTCCATACAACTGACACTCACTAGATATTTTCTCTTTTTCGGTCCATTCTCTTTACACCCTAGAGACGATAGTGTGTAAAAATCCCAGTAGATCAGCAGTTTTTGAACTACTCAGACCAGCCTACCTGGCACTTCTTCCCTGTTCTGATGCTCGGTCTGAACTTCAGCAAGTCCCTCTTCACCACATCTACAGTAGATGCCTAAATGCATTGAGCTGCTGCCATGTGATTGGCTGATTAGCAATATGTGTCATCAAGCAATTGAACAGGTGTACCTAATAAAGTGGCCAGTGAATATATGTATTGAAAGGTAGCAAACACAAATGACCAGCTCAGTCGGTCAAAGGTCTTTTGCGCATCTAAACTCAAAAGAAGTGCATCTGAGTTATTCTTTGCTAAAACATCGACAATGTCCACAGTTCTAGTGTTGTTCCCAGCCTGGGGGAAAATAATGATGCTCGCCTAATCATTATGAACAATGAAAGATATAAACTCCCAATCTGTTTGCAAGGATGTTCATAAATATTTTTAAATTTGAGTTCAGGAGCAGTAATTGGCTGTTTCTTTGAAGGTCCTTACCAGGTTTAGGTAAAAACAGTGATTGAAGATTGAGACATCGTGTCAGGTATAGGACTACTCTTGAGAAAAGTACTAAAGAGCAAAGTCATATAAGGAATTGGTATTGGAGAGAGAGTATTATAATAAAGGCAGGGCTTAAAAAGTCCTGAGCTACTAGCCAGGCCTTAAGAGTTACTCGCCACTAACAAACACACACAAACCGAGACACCTGTACACACACACACAGACATGTACATATATACACACACATGTACATACACACACACAGAGACACATGTACACACACACATACAGACACGTGTAGACACACATACATACAGATACATGTACATACACAAAAATACACACGCACAGACACATGTACATACGCACAGACACATGTACACACATACATGCAGACACATGTACAGATACACACATGTACACGCACACGCACGCTAAGTGCTCTCTCGTCTCCCCCAAAGCCACCACTGGCTGACATAGAGGATAATGTGACCAGAGCGAGTTGAAATTAGGTAGGTAGGCACACACACACCCTTATAAAAAGTTGCAGTACTTCGTTGTGCACTCACAGAGCCGGGTACTGCACTGTAGTGGGAGGCAGAGAGCACAGCACACACTCCTTCCTTTGCTTTCACTGCGCTCAGCTATTGAGCAGTCTGACAGCTCCCAGTGCCAATGACAGATCCGGCCTGAGCTCGGAGCCTGCTCAGCAAGATGGCCCTGGGGGACACTTTCTCCCCCAGCATAATTTCCACTCGCCGTTGGCAAGCAGGCAAGATAAAGGCATGGTAAACTGTCAGGATTTGATGATTGTTGGAGCAGTAAGTAAAAGTTTTATTGTAGCTAGTATTATCCAACATATTCCGGGCATTGCATTAAGATATTTATAAGTCTTTCCATTTAGGGATGGCTCATTCAGTTAAATAGTCCCAGATTGCATGGATAAAATAGTTACATAGTTGCATAGTTACATAGTTAGTCCAACTGAAAAAAGACAAAAGTCCATCCAGTTCAACCAAAAACAAGTTATAATCCTTTACCCACAATGGATACAGAGGAAGGCAAAAAGACCCAGCAAAGCATGATCGAATTTGCTCCTGCAAAGGAAAAAATTCCTTCCCGATCCCCCGAGAGGCAATCGGATATTCCCTGGATCAACTCTACCTACAAATGTTTGTATCCAGTTATATTATGTATATCTAGGAAAGAATCCAGGCTTTTTTTAAAGCAATCCAGGGAGCTGGCCAGAACCAACTCTTGAGGGAGTCTATTCCACATTTTCACAGCTCTTACTGTGAAGAAACCTTTCCATATTTGGAGCTTAAGTCTCTTTTCCTCCTGATGTAAAGAGTGCCCCCTTGTCCTTTGTGATGACCTAAGGGTAAATAACTCACCACCAAGTTCATTATATGAACCACTGATGTATTTATACATGTTGATCATATCCCCCTTAATCTCCTCTTCTCAAGATAGAATAAATTCAGTTTCTCTAATCTTTCCTCATAGGTGAGCTCCTCCATGCCTCTTATCAGTTTGGTTACCCTTCTGTGTACTTTCTCCAGTTCCCCAATGTTTTTTTTGTGAATTGGTGCCCAAAACTGAACTGCATATTCCAGGTGAGGTCTTACTAAAATAGATCTCTGACACTATGCCAATGTCGAATATAGGTTTTGTTAGAAATTAACAAACACCCTCATGATCTGTTCGGGATCATAAACCGGTGTAGCCAACAAATCCTTTGATACTGTGCGATGTGCCTGTGGATCTAAACAGCCAAGCTGATGTAAAATGTGGTTGCATTGTACCGGACTTCTAAAAACTGTTTTATGGGCATCGCAGAGTGTTGTGATATAAGGAACGAAATAGCGTTTTTTTTTTTCAGGGGGGGTTAAGTACACGTCGAATGCTTGCAGTTCTTAGTCGGGACAAATTTAAGTAAAAAATCATTTACGCACCAATTACCTTGTTTAGCTGCTTGCCCGCCACCCTATAGTAGAAGTACTGCTACAGGGTGGCAGGGCTGCGCGAAATCACGTATATATACGTGTTTTGCATTCCCGGTAGTGGACGTGCATGCTGCCCTACCCACTCCGCCATTGGCGGCTAGAGTTGTCAATCACTGTGTCTTGACCGGTGATTCCCCGCCGGCACACGGTGATCGCCGGGGAAAGATGACGGGAGAGACCTGTGTGTAAAAAAAAAAAAAAAAAACACAGGTCTGTCTCCTGTCAGCAAGAACAGAGAGCATGTCTCTGTTGTTTACAGCACATAATGTAAAACACACAAAGCATACAGTTAACCCTTTGATCGCCCCAGATTTAAAACCCCTTCCTGCCCAGTGTCATTAGTACAGTGTCTGCTTTTTTATTAGCACTGATTACTTTATTAGTGTCACTGGGAATGTCGGTGGCAGTCAGTTCCCAGACAATGTCAGAATGCCCGCCGCAGTCCTGCAGTCTTACTATAAGTAACTAATTGCCGCCATTATTAATATAAAAAAGCCAACAAAAAATTCCAGTATATATACCGCCATTTATAGACACTATAACTTTCACATAAACCAAGTAATTTACATGTATTGGGATTTTTTTTAGCAAAGACATGTAGCAGAATACATTTTGACCTAAATTTGATTTTTTTTTTATTTTTTGGGGGGTTATTTTTTATAGCAAAATGTAAAAAAAAATATTTTTTTTAATTGTCGGTATTTTTTTGTTTATAGCTCAAAAAATAAAAACCGCAGAGGTGATCAAATACCACTGAAAGAAAGCACTATTCGTGGGAAAAAAGGACATAAATTTAATTTATATACAGCATTGCATGACTGCGCAATTGTCAGTTAAGTAGCGCAGCGCAGTATCACAAAAAATGGCCTGGTGAGAAAGGGGGGTAAATCCTCTTGAGTGCAAGTGGTTAATAGGCTTAGTAAAAGTTTCAAGACAGAAAAAGCACCGTCCCTATAACCGTAAGAATATTAATGTGTTTAGTGTGCCTCAAGGTAGGCACATTTAGGAATAATTGTTGATTCAGTTGTGTGTGTGTGTGTGGTGGAATTTTAAGAAACACTATGGGGGGTGATTTACTAAGGCTGGCCATACACTATACAATGTTCTGTCCAATTTCTGCCCAATTTCCTTTAGATTTACCTTCAACTATGTAGTGCAAGAGCCTGCCTAATTGGATACAGTTGAAAGTGGTATTAGTTTTGACCTCCTATTATATGGTTTTGGTAAATCAAAACCAAAAATCTCAAGGAAATTGTATAATGTATGGCCAGCCTTAGGCTGGCCATACGCTATACAATTTTCTTGAGATTTTTGAAAAATATATTTTAGAAAAATATAAGCGGACAGAACAGAAAAAAAAAAGCATAACAAATCTGGAGCAAGATATCTTAAATTCAAATCCAGTAGGTTCCGGAGTAGAGTTCTATACTCCCATGCCTTTAGCGAATGCCCCCTCCCAGACTGCCTATGGTAAACTATAATAAAAACTAGGCATTTACAGTGAAGGAAATAAGTATTTAATCCCCTGCTGATTTTGAATGTTTGCCCACTCAAAAAGAAATGATCAGTCTAAAAATCGAATGGTAGGTGTATTGTAACACTGAGAGACAGAATAGCAACAAAAAATTCAAAAGAAATGCATGTCTACCAAATTATGCACGGATTTGCATGTGGGAAATAAGTATTTGATGCCCTTCACAAAACATGACTTGGTGGCCAATCCCTTGTTGGCAAATCACAGAGGTCAGACGTTTCCTGTATTTGGCCACCTGGTTTGCACACATCTCAGGGGGGATTTCGGCCCACTCCTCTTTGCAGGTTTGGTGGCTGATGTTTGGCAACTTGAACTTTCAGCTCCCTCCACAGATTTTCAATCGGATTAAGGTCTGAAGACTGGCTAGGCCAATTCAGGGCCTTATTGTGCGTCTTCTTGAGCCACTACTTTGTTGCCTTGGCTGTGTGTTTTGGGTGATTGTCATGCTGAAACACCCATCCATGACCCATTTTCAATGCCCTGGCTGAGGGAAGAATGTTCTCACCCAAGATTTGACAGTACATTGCCCTGTCCATCTTCCCTTTGATGCTGTGCAGTTGTCCTGTTCCCTTAGCAGAAAAACACCCCCAAAGCAGAATGTTTCCACCACCATGTTTGACAGTTGGGATGGTGTTCTTGGGGTCATAGGCTCCTCCACCAAACACAGCGAATTGAGTTGACGCCAAAGAACTCGATTTTGGTCTCACCTGACCACAAAACTTTCAACCAGTCCTCCTCTGCATCATTCAGATGTTCAGTGGCAGACTTCAGATGGGGCCTGGACATATGCTTTCTTGAGCAGAGGGACCTTGCGGGCAATTGCGCGGTCATGCAACACTGTACCTAAACTAAATTTTTATAATTTTGTTCACACAAGTAGAGCTTTCTTTTGGTGGTATTTAATCACCAGTGGGTTTTTTATTTTTTGCTAAATTAACAAAGAAAATGAAACTTTTTTAAAAAAACCCACGTTTTTCTTTTTCTGTTATAAAAGTTCGCAAATAAATAATTGTTCTTCATAAATTTAGGCCAAGATGTATTCTGCTACATTGCTTTGGTGAAAATAACCCAAATCAGTATTTATTATTTAGTCTGTAGGAAAGTTATAGCATTCACAAACTATGGGATATATCAGAAAATTGATCAATCCTGAAGTACTGACAGCCAGTCTAATTTCTAGAGGCCCAAAAATGTCAGAACAGTACAAATATCCCCCAAATGACCCCTTTTTGCAAAGTAGGCAGTCCAACGTATTTCATAAGAGGCATGGCGAGGTTTTATTATTTTTTTTTGTCAATTTTTTGGAAAATGAAGACATTTCACTTTTTTTTTTTTTTTTCCCACATGCTGTCACAGTGCAGTACAGCATCATCATATAACTGGTGTGGTACTGGCACTGACTGGTGACAGTACGAAAAAAAAATTGATAATTTGTTTACTTTTTTATTTATTTATTAAATTTTTTCTCTTTTTTATTTTTTTTTCATATTACACTATGACCAAAGTAGTATAATGTTACCATAGTAAAAGTAAAAAAATTTTTTGACACAATTTGATTGCTTATAGCATTTAAATAAAAGTTTTTTTGTTGTGATAAGCTGTGATTGGCCCAGCCTGTGCATGTGATCACTGTGACCATTCACAGCTAGACACACTTGTATACAATGGATGGCATGAAAGGAAGACATCCATTGTTTACAACTGTCATGTGACCTGTTGTGATTGGTCACAGGTGGTCACATGGTACTTGCAACGGGGCCGGTACACAGATCTGTCATCGGCCGTGTCCGAGGTACAGAGCTGGTGACAGATCTCGCACAGCTCGGCCCTGCGAGCCGACTGTCATTTTACTATAGGCCAGGCGGGAAATGGTTAAGTATGTTCCTCATGAGAACAGAAGTGTTCCTGAAAGATACAAGACCACAAAAGGATGTTCTCACTGTGTCGGTCTTTTCAAGCCAAGCTGCTTATGACTACTTACTGTCTTCCAGGTGGCAATATCCTGTTAGAATACAGGGAGTTGATCCCATGCTGGAATATACGGGCAGATCTTGTTAAGGTCATTGCAAAATTGTTTGTCTTTCTTGGATGCGTCGTCATGCTTTGTCATGCTGGTGGCAATATCCTGTGGTAATACAGTGAGTTGAGTTGATCCCATCCTAGAATTTATGCTTAGGTCATGTTAAGGTCACTGCAAAATATTTGTAAGCCTTCTGGGATGCATAATGTGGTTTACTTTTCACTTCATGGGCTATTAGGCTAAACAGGACTCCCGGGGGGAGGAACCTGAACATGGCGCCGACAAGGTGCATGGTGTTAGAGCTCCTGAGAACCGCCAGCAGCAGTTATGCCTAGGAGTAGCTGAGATACCTGAAGCGCCTTAATCTTGCCCTGTCCAAGGAGTGTCCCGCTCCTGTGTCCTATCCGCCTGCGGTTGTTGTGTGGGCAGGGGATTGTGAGTCAGGTGTCGGCCAGAGAGGAGGCGGACTCCACTGAAATTTGGAGCGGTGAATGCTGGGAAATCACGTGGTCGCCATGGAGAAGCGCTGGGAAGCATCGCATGGGTGTGTGAGGAGAGGAGACAACATACCTGGACCTAGAGCAAGCAGAACCCCGTGGATACCACGGAGGGTGATCCCCTTTATACATACAGTGATAGATCACCCTGGAATACCATGGAATTGCCTTGGAGAGGAGGTCTGAGAACCTTAGCTGTGCTCGGTATACAGAGAAACTGTAAGGAAGCAGCGGCAGCAAAGTGAATGAAGGTAGAACAGAGGTGGTATATGAGAGGCTGCGGGAAGTGATGCGTCTAAATCTAAAATTTAAATTGACTTATACTGTCAAAAGGAACTTTGTGGGGGATCACCTAGTGGGCCTAGAAGGGGTCGAAGAAGCGGTACGAGAAAGAACCCCGAGGGAGGAAATTGGTGATGGGACAACCTGGAGAGATAAGTTCTACTATTTTATATGCCAAATAAAAGGAATAAGAATACCCATAGTGGACTATAACCCCAATCTATTCTGTGGAAGTAACCTTCTGTGCTTTGACCTAAAAAGAGAGATAGTATAAGAACATTATGAAGAGTAAATCTGTGAATGGGGGAGGGACCAAAACATCCCAAATAAGTACAAGTAAAATTAAAAAATATATGCCCCCACAAGAGAGAAGTCCAGAGGGTCAAACCCTAGCGAGACAATATGGAGCAAGTGGAAGACTGGAGATGGAAAATAATATCGGGTGACCGCTCTAGATTGTCCTTGGGAGTATCCAATCTGAGTCAAATTGAAGAAACTGTAGATATGGAAAAGGAACTGGATATATAAAAATGCGGAAGAACAAGAGAAAAATGCACAAATGCCTACTAAAACTGAAATAACAGAAACATTTGTGAAATTAGAACACTCCATAAAAAACGATGTGGCAATAATACATAAGGATTTTGGGCATGTTCTGTCACGAGTAGAAGAAATGGAGGGAAAACCGGATAAACATGCCCAACTAATCAATTTGGAAAAGCAAATGGAGGAGATGTGAAAGGAGCAAAGGAAACTGCTATATAAATTGAAAGATCAAGAGAACAGAGATAGAAGGAATAACCTGAGGATACGGGGTTTACTCGACACTTCTCAAGGAGAAGATTTGATGGAGATAATGAGGAAAGTGTTTAACACAATGATGGATAGATCAGCAATAGATCAATTGAAAATTGATAGAGTACACAGAATTGGAAGACCCCAAGGAATGGCGAGTGAAAATCCCAGAGATGTGATTGTGCAATTTCATTATTACAAAGATAAAGCAGATCTATGGAAGAAGATGAGAGGGATGCCAGTAATAAAATATGAAGAAACAAAGTTACAAAACTTTGCTGGAACAGATGAGAAAACAAAATGTACGATACAGCTGGGGGTTTTCAGCATGTTTAATTGGATGGAAAGACGGTCACGCTGCAAGATTGTTGTTCCCGGAAGAACTATGGGACTTTTTGCGAGAGACTAGAACTACAGATAGACATTCCAGGATGGGAAGAAGGTGTAAAGGAAAATATGGGAATAGAAAAACAGATGTCAGTCCCCAAAAAGAGAGCGCATCAGAGATAAAAATAAGTGGGGGAGAGGAGGAATAGGGAATGAGTTACAAAGTTGTCAGAGGACTTCTTTTTTTTTTCTTTTTGTCCTCTCCTCCTCTCTCTTGCTCTTTCTCCTAGGCAGGTTGAGAATCTTAGAAGACAGGTGGGAAATGTGAGGTCACACATGTATCTGGTCTCGGGACTCAGGAATCGGGGACTGCGGGTCTGGTTGGGCGTGTGTTGTCAGAGTTTCACCCCAGATTGAAATCGATAGTGGGACTAGGATCACAAACAATTCAAAGGGAAGATAAGGGTCAAGGGGTTGCTAGGAGGATGGGAGTTGGGGTAGGAGTGGGTGGGGGGAATGGTATGAGAGGGAGAATTTAAGAGATGGAGGATAGGAATTACAGTGGAGATACCCTCGTGTTCCTGATGATAGATATCTGTACTTTCTTCAGGACAAATATAGTAGGAGAAAAAGGAAAATACAGGAAATCGAAGAGGTTAATTTTATGAGATTGAATACCCCGGTGAAGAGGCATAAGATTCTTAGAGAATTACAACGTTCTTTTGAAGTAGTGTTTTTACAAGAGACTCCTTTATCCCAGGAAACAAATGTTAAGTAACGGTATACGCTAAATATTATCCAACCTGGAATTATGCAGGTTCATCAACTAAACGCGCTAAAGGGGTAGCAATTGGTATAGCAAAGAATTTAAGATTTAATATCAAGGAAAGGTGGGTGGATCCTGAAGGTTGATTTCTGTTTTTGAGGTAGAGATGACAGGAGATGGAATGTACATTTAGCAAATATTTATTGTCCCAATAAATAATCCAGTGGCTTATCTGAAGAACATACTAAGAAAGCTTTTGGATTTTAACCACCTTCCGCCCTCCCTATAGTACAGTGACGGGCGCAAGGTGGTTCTCTCGTTCTGATAGGACATCATATGACGTCCTACCATTCTCACTGCGCATGCGTGGCTCAGGGAGCGCGCAGCGCGGCGATCACCGGAGGGACACAGCGGATCACGGAAAGAGACGAAGATGTCGGCACGGTCATGTGATCAGCTGTGTCCAATCACAGATGATAACATGTAAACATGGAAGTGCCGGTTATCTGCATTTCTCTCCTCTCGAGCTGTTATGCTGACAGCTCGAGAGGAGAGCCGGTAATCGGCTTTCCGCGGAGGGGACATGTACACTGATCATCAGTGTGCCCTGATGATCAGTGTGGCCCCAGAAGTGCCTACTGTCAGTGCTCATCAGTGCCAGTGCCCATCAGTGCTACGTGCCAGTGCCACATCAATGCCACATATCAGTGCATACCAGTGCACATCAATGCCACATATCAGTGCCCATCTGAGCTGCCTTTCAATGCCACCCATCAGTGCCACCTATCAGTGCTGCCAATCAGTGCCACCTATCAGTGCTGCCAATCAGTGCCTCCTAACAGTGCCAGTCAGTGCTGCCTATCAGTGTCATGTATCAGTGCTGCCTTTCAGTGCCCATCAGTGATGCCTGACAATGCCCATCAGTGCAACCTACCAGTGCCTCCTCATCAGTGCCAACTATCAGTGTCCATCAGTGCAGCCTCATTAGCGCACATCAGTGAAGGAGACAAATCACTTATTTACAAAATTGTATAACAAAAACTAAGAAAAAACTTTTTCTTTCAAAATTTTCAGTGGTTTTTGGTTTGTTTAAGAAAAAATAATCCCAGAGGTGATTAAATACCACCAAAAGAAAGCTCTATCTGTCTCAAAAAAATGATAAAAATGTAATATGGGTACAATGTTGCATGACCGCGCAATTGTCATTCAAAGTGTGACAGCGCTGAAAGCTGGAAATTGACCTGGGCAGGAAGGGGGTATAAGTGCCCTGTAGGCTAGTGGTTAAGAAGGGCAAACTAATTGTGGCAGGAGATTTTAATTTTTGCATGGACCCCCAGATGGATACATCGTCACATGTGCAGCAGGATGGAGGTAAATGTATAAAACCTATAAAAAAAATGCTATATCATTGTCAACTCATGGATTCCTGGAGAATTAAACACCCTAGAGAAAGAGATTATACGTTCTATTTCCCTGCACATGCGATGTATTCTAGACTGGATTATATAATGACAGAACATAAACTCTTGGGAGTCTGGTTAAAGTGGATATACAGTAGATGTTCTATCAATATCGGACCATGCTCCTGTCACAATGAAGTTACAATGGGGAAGAGAACAGAACAAGATAAATATGTGGAAATTGAATGAGACGCTCCTCCAGGATCATGAGATGGAAGTGAGAATAAAAAAAGAAATAGAATAATACTTTAGAACAAATGAGACCGAAGGCGTTTCAATTGCTACGGTTTGGGAAGCGTATAAGGCATATATCAGGGGAATTTTGGTTGCTATTGGAGGGGAAAAAAAGAAAGAATGGCAAAAGAAAATTAACACATTAATAGAGGAATTATATGAACTAGAACAATCGCATAAAATGAGAACAGTAAAAGATATTCAGTAGAAAATAATTAAAAACACAGATAAACTAAACAACTTAATGGAACAAGAAACGAGGAGAATATTTAACATGATGGCAAGAATGGGGAATAGACCTGGTTAATATTTAATGAGAACATTGAGAAATAAGAAATCAAGTAACTTTATAGAGAAAATTAAAGATGATAATGGAGAATTGTTATATGATGTAAAATCGAAAAACCTAAAAGAAGGGGATATAGAAAGGACTAGAAAAAGACAGATTTATCTAAAGGAGGCGGGATTACTGAGATTGGGAGAGGAAAGCCTGGCATCTTTAGAAAAACTAATAACACAGGAAGAAATTCAAGTGTCACTGAAGAGTGCAGTCGCAGGGAGGAGCCCTGGACCAGACAGTTATACAGTGAGATATTATAGAAAATTTAAAGAACAATTCGTCCCTAAATTGAGTGTATATATAAATGCACTATGAGATAAGATTGAAATGAGGAAGGAGTCATTACAATCATACCGAAAGATGGGTCTCAGTGTGCTAGCTATAGGCCTATATCACTGCTAAATATCAATACAAACTATATGCAGATGTTTTGGCAACTAGGATGAAAGACTTAATGCTGGAATGGATTAATTTAGATCAAGTGGGGTTTACCCCTGGGAGAGAAGGTAAGAGAGAGAAACCCTCCGTATTGGTTCTATTGATAGATGCTGAGAAAGCTTTTGACAGGGTAGACTGGGGATTTATGATGGACACAATAGAGGTACTGGGAATTGGACCCAAAAATGAGAAAGTGGATAGGAAAGCTTTATAGTAAGCCTTCAGCAGCGGTAAAGGTCAATGGCTCGTTATCAAAGTTCTTTAAAATGTATAATGGGACGAGACGGGTGTCTGCTTTTGCCCGTTGTTTGTTTTATCCTTGGAGCCCCTTCTTGCGACAGTACAAAATAGTCTTGATGTAAAAGGGATACAGAGTGGAGAGAGAGAACACAAAGTTGCAGCATATGCTGATATGTTGTTTTATCTTGTAAACCCTAGGCTGACACTACCCAATTTAATGAGAATATTAAAATATTATGGAGATTTATCAAATTTAAAAATTGTCAAAATCAGATATCTTAAATATCAATGCCCCGATAACAGGAAAAAAAGGCCTTACAGAGAGAATTCTCTTTCACATGGAGGGGAAAAAACGAAAACATCTGGGAATAAAATTGACCCCATCCTTTAAGAATTTATACAAAGTAAACTACATTCCATTAATAAATGAGATAAAAGATGAATTGAGGAGAATTTCTATAGGATCACTCTCCTGGATAAGACGAATAAATATGGTAAAGATGTTAATAGTTCCGAAAATCCTATATAAATTTCACATGTTACCAATGTATTTACTGGGAACCTATTTTAACCACCTCCCGCCCACCATATAGTCCAATGACGGGTGCAAGGTGGTTCTCTCGTTCTGAGAGGACGTCATATGACGTCCTCCCATTCTCACCACGCATGCGTGGCTCAGGGAGCGTGCGGCGATCGGCGGTGCACTGTGTCCCTCGGACACAGAGGATCACCAATCACGGAAAGAGCTTAAGATGTCGGCTCGGTCATGTGATCAGCTGTGTCTAATCACAGCTGATCACATGTAAACGGGGAAATGCCTGTTATCTGCATTTCTCTCCTCTCGAGCTGTCACGCTGACAGCTCGAGAGGAGAGGAGAGCCGGTAATCGGCTTTCTATGGAGGGGACATGTACACTGATGATCAGTGTGCCCTGATGATCAGTGTAGCCTCAGCAGTGCCACCTGTCAAAGTCCATCAGTGCCAGCTATCAATGCCACATACCAGTGCACATCAATGCCACATATCAGTGCCCATCTGAGCTGCCGTTCAGTGTCATCCATCAGTGCCGCCTATCAGTGCCAGTCAGTGCCGCCTACCAGTGCCATGTATCAGTGCTGCCTTTCAGTGCCCATCAGTGATGCCTGTCAGTGCCACCTACCAGTGCCTCCTCATCAGTGCCACCTATCAGTGTCCATCAGTGCAGCCTATCAGTGCTCATCTCTGCAGCCTCATTAGCGCGCATCAGTGAAGGAGAAAAAATTACTTATTTACAAAATTTTATAACAAAAACTAAGAAAAAACTTTTTTTTTTTTTCAAATTTTCAGTGGTTTTTGGTTTGTTTAAGAAAAAATAAAAAACCCCGAGGTGATTAAATACCACCAAAAGAAAGCTCTGTCACAAAAATATGATAAAAATTGCATATGGGTACAGTGTTGCATGACTGCGCAATTGTCATTCAAAGTGCGACAGCACTGAAAGCTGGAAATTGGCCTGGGCAGGAAGGGGGTATAAGTGCCCAGTAGGCTAGTGGTTAAAATAGTTATAAAAATGATACAGAGGTATATATGGGGAAATAAAAAACTGAGAATGAAATATGAAGTGCTGTGTAGTGATACAGAAAATGGGGGTCTAAATGTACCTGATTTTAAGAGATATTACTACTCAGTATTATTGTCACAAATATTTAATTGGATATATAATGCATCAGGGAAAAGTTGGGTTAAAATAGAAATCACATTAAGTGAGACACAATTAGATTATTTGGCTTCCACATCAGCACTGTATGTTGGCTGAAAACACAAGCACTTATACACGGAATGTACCGTATTTTCCGGCGTATAAGACGACTTTTTAACCCATGAAAATCTTCTCAAAAGTCGGGGGTCGTCTTATACGCCGGTATACGGCGTGCTGACACTTCCGAGCCGGTGTCAGGGCAGAACGTTTTAGGGGGGCGGCGGCACCCCCCCTTCCAGCGGAAGGGACACTAAGTACTGGGGTGGGCAGGGGGCTGCTGTTTCTTACCTGGCCCCGGTCCCAGTCCCACGACGATCCAGTCCAGGAAGCGCGGCTGCTCCTTCATTCAGTTTTGCCGCTCCCTCACTCGATGTTCGTTTGGCCGCTCAGCTCCGCCTCTTCACCGGTGATTGGGCAACAGAACTGTAGCTCAGGAAAGGCACACAGGCGGCCAATGATCTGTGAGGAGGCGGAGCCGAGCGGCCCCGCGGACATCGAGTGCGGGAGCAGCTGGTAAGTGTGCCGTGCAGATGGTGCTGCTGCAAGCACATATGCTGGCTGCAGCAGCACCATGCTGGAACAGGGGTCAGCAAGTGTCATTGGTGTCAGTGGGAGGAATAGTGCCCCATCATTGGTGTCACTGATACTAATGATGGGGCATTATTCCTTCCACTGACACCAACAATGGGGCACTATTCCTCCCCCCACTGACACCAACGATGGAACACTATTCCTCCCCCCCCCCCCCACTAACACCAACTATGGGGCACTATTCCTCCTCCCCACTGACACCAACGATGGGGCACTATTCCTCCTCCCCCCCCCCACTGACACCAACGATGGGGCACTATTCCTCTCCCCCCCCCCCCCCCCCACACTGACACCAACAATGGGCACTATTCCTCCCCCCACTGACACCAACGATGAAGCACTATTCCTCCCCCCACTGACACCAACTCTGGGGCACTATTCCTCCCCCCACTGACACCAACTCTGGGGCACTATTCCTCCCCCCCCTGCTGACACCAACTCTGGGGCACTATTCCTCCCCCCCCCCCCCCGCTGACACTAACGATGGGGCACTATTCCTCCCCCCCCGCTGACACTAACGATGGGGCACTATTCCTCCCCCACGCTGACACTAACGATGGGGCACTATTCCTCCCCCCCCCCCCCCCCCCCACTGACACCAACGATGGAGCACTATTCCTCTCCCCCCCCCCCCCCCCCCCACTGACACCAACGATGGAGCACTATTCCTCCCCCCACTGACGCCAACGATGGGGCACTATTCCTCCCCCCCACTGACACCAACAATGGGGCACTATTCCTCCCCCCCACTGACACCAACGATA